GCAACTTTCAGAAAACTAAGATCATGGCATCTGGTCCCATCACTTCATGGGAAATAGATGGGGAAACAGTGGAAACAGTGCTGACTTTATTTTTTGGGCTCCAAAATCACTGCAGATGGTGACTGCAGCCATGAAATTAAAAGACGCTTATTTCTTGGAAGGAAAGTTATGGCCAACCTAAACAGCATATAAAAAAGCAGAGACATTACTTTGTCAACAAAGGTCCGTCTAGTCAAGGCTATAGTTTTTCCAGTAGTCATGTATGGATGTGAGATTTGGACTATAAAGAAAGCTGAGCGCCAAAGAATTGATGCTTGTGAACTGTGGTGTTGGAGAAGACTCTTGAGAGTCCCTTGGACTGCAAGGAGATCCAACCAGTCCATCCTAAAGGAGATCAGTCCTGGGTGTTCATTGGAAGGACTGATGCTGAAGCTGAAACTCCAATACTTTGACCACCTGATGCAAAGAGCTGACTCATTTGAAAAGACCCTGATGCTTGGAAAGATTGAGGGCAGGAGGAGAAGGGGACGACAGAGGATGAGATGGTTGGATGGCATCACTGACACAATGGACATGGGTTTGGGTGGACTCCAGGAGTTGATGATGGACAGGGAGGCCTGGCGTGCTGTGGTTCGTGGGTTCATAAAGAGTCAGACACGACTGAGTGACTGAACTGAACTGAACTGAATACCCATGATTAGATTATGCCACCATTAGTCAGGGCTTCCCTGGTGGCTCAGAGGTTAAAGTGTCTGCCTGCAATGTGGGAGACCCGGGGTTCCATCCCTGGGTCGGGAAGATCCCCTGGAGAAGGAAATGGCAACCCACTCCAGTATTCTTGTCTGGAGAATCCCATGGACAGAGGAGCCTGGTAGGCTACCAGTCCATGGGGTCACAAAGAGTTGGACACAACTGAGCGACTTCACTTTCACTTTCCTTTTCACTTTCTTACATTTAAAGGCTAAATTTGATACAGTCTGTAAAGCACCTTTAGAAGAAAGTGAGTTTTTAGAATGATTTAACCTTGAGAAATATGAGTTGGGAGAAAAGCAAAATCTAATTTAAAAACTATGGTAACTTTTCATTATCAATATGCATAGTTTTGTGTATATAATACCATATACCACTGTAAAAAGTGTAAAATTTCCCACCTACGATACGCACCCCCTTTCAACAGACAACAGCACATGAAGATCTCCAGTGAGATTTGCTCAATGCAGACCGGATCAGTGCTTTGCTTAACCACAGAATTCTGTGTACCCTTTGCAGACATCGAATCTGGGCCCCAGGAACATCTTTCATGGAACAAAAGGCCTAGGGAAAAGGAAGCATATTAGGGCAGAGCACACTTACTCCTCACAATGGAATAACACCCTGAGTGTCAGTTGTTAGTTGGTAATGTTAGAGGTAGGTGCCAGGTCTCAGAATTTTTGAGATGTGTGTTAAATGAGGAAAATAACTGGCTGTTACATAAAGAGTCAATCACCGTCTGCTGCAAGCCCATCTGCAGCCCCTCTGGGGACCGGCTCAAGGGTGGGGTGCACAGCAGTGCCTCCTGGGGGTAAATGTGGAGGTTGTGACTCCCCGGAGATGGCCAGGCTTCTGGCTTTTTAATTTATCATCTTGTCACCTCCCACTCTCGCCTCTTTGGGGTTGAGATGAAAGAAGTGAGATATAAAGGAATATTCAGTTCACTTTTTAATTAAACATTTGGTTTGCTTCCAAAATACAAGGCTTCAGTTCACATGCACAGAAAAGATGTCAGAAAAATGGTCAAAAAAAAAAAAGTTAAGCTTAGAAATGATATTCTTACATACAAGAGACTTCTACTTATTTTGTCTTCTGCAGGGGGAGAAAAAAATTCCTCTGGAGGGCCCAGACAGGGTTTATAAAGTGTCATCTTGAAATGTGGATATTTCTTGACCTCTGTCAGTGAAAATTAGTGCAATGGACTGTAGAAATATACAGCATTATTGTGGTTTCTGATTTTTAAAAATGTTTTCTATTTTTTCACGCATGCAAAAACATTTAGCCAAAACTAGCTAGCTAAAGCCATAGAGGCATGCTTGGGAAGTGTTTATTTGCTGGGCTTTCTTAACCCAAACAAATGGCAGAACATTTGTTTGAAAGAGTATCTCCTCTTAGGCTCCTGTTGGCATCTGTTCTCCTCCTCCTCCATTGGCCATTTAGTTTCAAGTTATAAATAGACTGTAGATGCTCAGAAACATATACATGTTTTTATTTTGTATTAGCCTATAAAGATGCAGTTACTCATTGAGCAGATGAAATATTAAGCATCCTCTAAGAGTCTAAACAATAAGGTTTTGTTCCAAGGAAGAGAGTCCCTTCCCGTCTCCCAGTTTCCTGGTCTCCTAAGCAGGCCCAGTGGGCCTTCACTGGTTAGCGAGGTGACCGCTGAAGGTTTTAACTTCCTCATTAGTAAGACAAGGGATTTAAATCAAATTTCTTGAATGTTCCTCCCAATACTAATCTTCCAGGGATCTCTTTAATGTGTCAGTGCCTCGTGGGGGGGTTTACTGTAAGTCAAGATCCAAAACTGTTAGGATGTGAACTTCTTAACATTCAAGCAGGACCTAGAAAACTATAATGGAAAAATTAAACCAGGAAGCACTCTTTCTGTTGACTTGATCATTGAGTTTTTCTATGTATCACCTTCTTTCTGATAGTGGCCTTCTGCTTTCACATCAGCAAATACCATATAAATGCTGTCATTTGCAACCTGTGAACTAAATAAAGATGGCAATTTACACAGCTGTTGGTAGGGGCAGGCAGCGAATCTAAACCCCGTTCATGGCATCCGTGGGGAAGGTTCTCCTCTGTCACACCTCATCCCTTTACTGAGACGATACCCTTTTCTGAAGCTTCGTGTGATTTTAAAGATCATTTTCTGAAAGCATACACAGTAGAGTAGACCTCTTACATGCCGTCCATATAGACTTTTCCCAGAGTTGAATGAGTTCTAAGCAAGGACAAATTCTGCCTCATCTTTCTGAAATAAAACCGGTATGAAATCTGAGACTGCAGAAGGAGATCAAAGCTTACAAGACGTTGTGTATCATCACTGAAAATAAAACTCCCGCTGTGAAATCCGTGAGCGGTGGAAAGTTTCCCTATGTGCCCACTAGGTAGTGGAACTTTGATGCCGAGCCAGAAGCTATTGTTTAGAGTTCTACAGATTTTATTAAACATAGTGGGCCAGGTCAACACTATGATTTATTCGGGTGATTCCTACTGGTCCCAGGGAAGTGTTCCTTGAGTCTTTAGACAGGAGATCATTCGAGTAAGAAAAGGATTCTGAAAACTTAATGATAAATGTCATGGGTAGCATAAACCTGGGTAACAAGGTGTTCTGAATGTTCCTCATTTCTTCCACCTTTGTTTTTGCACTTTACTGGAAAAATACCTTGTGTCCCAGTTCTGAATTAAACAGGAACTGAGTATCAGGGGAGAGAGCTTCTGACAAGCCTTTTTTTCTTTTTATGGTTTGTGTCGATGAAGAAGGTTCCCCTGGCTCCCCTTCCTCATTGTGTTGCCCCTGACATTCCTGCAGTCAACAAGAGCACTGCAGTAATAATAGTAATGATAAGGTGGAGCCATGTATAGTTGTGCTCCTGGGTATTTATCCAAAGGAGTTGATAACTTACTTCCACCCAAAAGTCTGCACATGGATATTTATAGAAACTTCATTCATAAGTGTCAACACTTGGAAGCAACCAAGGTTTCCTTCAGGGCGTGAGTGGATAAACGAACATCGAAACAGTGGAACATCGTTCAGCGTTTAAAAGAAATCAGCTGTGAAGCTGAAGGCACCTGGGAGGGTCTTGAATGCGTCTTGCTGGATGAAAGAAGTCAATCTGCAAAGGCTCCATTCTGTCTGATTCCAGCTTTGTGACATTCTGGAAAAGGCAAAACTATGGAGACAATAAAAGGATCAGAGCTTGCCAAAGGTTAAGAAGGAGGAAGGGATGGAGAGGCAGAACACAGGAGATTTTGGGGTAGTGAAACACTTCTGTGTGAGACTGTGAAGGTGAACGCATGCCATTAAACACTCACCCAAACCCAGCAGAACATGCAACATCAAGAGTGGACCCCGCCAGGAGCACAGGCTTTGGGTGATGCGGACAGGTCAGTGTCGGCCTGGGGGTTGCACCTCCTGCCACACTTTGGTGGGGGGGGGTAATCACAGTGGTAGGGGGGCGGGGAGGAGCTTTGCATGTGTGTGAGCATGGAATCTTAGTTCTTCCCGCTCGGTTTTATTATGACCCTCAAGCTCCTCTAAACATAAGTCTCTTTTTTACTAAATAAGACAATAGTTCTCTTCAATTATAGAATTTTGAGATGCTTCATGTTACTTATTGGAAAAGGGAATGGCAAGCCACTCCAGTGTTCTCGCCTGGAGAATCCCATCGGCAGAGGAGCCCGGCGGACTACATCCATAAAGTTGCACAGAGTCGGGCATGACTGAAGGGACTTTGCAGCAGTAGCACCGTGTTACTTATACTTCTTAATACACATTTACATTAAAGTACTTAACTAAGATGCAATGTGTTCTCTTGCTGAGTAAAACAAAAAATAGGTCATTAAAAACACTTATTTCACTGTAATAATAAATTTCACTAGCCAGACCTAATATGTTTCTAGTAATACACCAGTCTCTTTCATCAGGCTAACGGCAAAAAAGATTGAACTCCTAGCAAACAACAGTAGCAGTCCTGGGAGAGGCTCTGTGGGGCCCCGGAGAATGGTCTGAATGGTGGGAAATCTCCAAGAGGAACCTCTGAGCTGAGCTGCCGACTGTGTGCTCCATGCAGAAGGATGGTTGTCAGGTAGAAATATTTCAAGATTTTTCAGGTTTTCAATAGAAGCCAGAGTACTGACCTCCCATTTTAAAAGTCATGACCCAGTGTTAACCTAAACATGGCAGATGAAGCACATGTGTCAGACCACTGTGACCTGTGGATCAGCGAGCGGTGTTGTACCTTCTAGAGCAAGAGACGTGAGCTTGAGAAAGACGCCGGGCTGGGAGCAAAGAATTGACCTAAGAGGAGCGGGAGGAGAGGAGGTCAATGAAAAAACACATCCGTGTGTGACAGACGGAAAGATGGACAGGGACAGACAGGAGAGCGAGGAGGGGAGGACACGCGATGTCAGGGAAGCTAATAAAGGAAGCAAGCAGGGTGGATGGAGTCCATAGAGTGTCTCTGGGCTTCACGTCCCAACTCGTGAGGCTGAGGACAGTCCCCTGGGCTTAGCCACTGAGGTCGCCTCTGGCCTTTGACACTGTGACATCTCTGAGCATCAGGACCACAGACGTCCTCCAAGGAGGGAAAAGAAAACTGGTGGAAAATTGGAAGGAGTTGCGCACAGTTTGTTTATTTAACAAATCTGATAGAAGAAAGAAATTGGTCAGAAACCAGGGCGACAAAGGGAAGGCAAGAGAGAACTAATCTTCCTGGGTAAAGGAGATCTGTTCAAGAGTAAAGCAGAAGTGCGAAGGGCAGCGAGGAGAAGAATAAATAAAAATGCCGGAGGGCAAGAGAAGCGGAGCTGAGAAACCTCAAGGGTTTATTCGCAGACGCTCCTTGTGGCCCCTGTCTCCAGAACGACACGGTGTCCTGTCATTCCGTGAGCTCGTGTGACTTCACACGCTCGTGGCTCAGTGGGCACTGTTTGGGAAGGACTGTGACCCCTGGGTGCTCAGGACACAGTCGATTGTTACAGGCTTTAATATCATCCAGTCCAGCATGCGTGCTTTGAAGGATGTTCTCTATAGACACCCTCGATGCAATAGAAAGGAGGGGGATGCGCAGGTGATGAACTCAGTCACGCCAGCCCCGCTCCCCATCCCGTGTATGGTGGTGTGAGTCCCTCGGAGGGGTCTTGGGATCTGGCGGCTGCTTCTGCCTTAAGAGGAGCAGGCGTGTCCGCCGGCCCCTGGCGCCCCGCCCGGAGCTCTGGGCCAGCCTGATCCTCCTGCTCTGCACAGCCGTCCTAATTGCCTCCCTTTGGGTTTTCGTTTCGTCCTCAGGGCAGCCAGGCTGGGAAGGTCCGCATCCTCTGTGGAAGCAACATAATATGAAACCCAGTGTTATTTCCTGCGCTGTGACGCACACCCCATCTGGCAGAGCCGGGGACTGAAACAGCATCTCCAGGGCCCCGAGGATTGAAAGTGTAGCTCGTCGTTGGAGATTTCCACAGCCAACTCAGAGCCTATATTTTCCATCAGTTAAATATTTAGCATTGGCAGCATGAATTTGGATTCGTTCCTCTTCCTGCAAATTAGCTGTTTGTAACTATTAGTGATGCCTCGTGAGGCTGGCGATAAAGAGGGCTCCTTCCTCTCCCCAGCTCCAATCTCTCTTCTCGGGTTTAAGCCGGTTCGGGCCACAGAGCCTGGGGAAGGGGATTCACCCACCACGTCCCCAGACACCTTGGACCTGGCAGGCTTTCCGCCTTCTGTTCTCCTTTCTCCGCATTAAAAGCACTTCCTTTGCTGAAACATCCCCACAGCGCAAACTACTCAGCGCAGCAGTCTACACTTAATGCTTCTGTTTTCTCATCCTACTCCTGCGTTCCACCCCCTTGTGGCGGGGTTTCCTGGTTCACTGCAGAAAAACGGCTCTATCACGACCTCCGTCCCGAGCCCAGGCGCGTGCTCCGCCCTTCCCGTGGCCCTCCCCAGCACTCTCCCCTCTCTCTTCGGCACTGGCCAGAGGCCGCCTCCCGTCCTGCGCCCTGTCCGTTTCCAGGCTCCGTGGCAGCTCCTGTTTCCGTTCCCCACATCCTTTCCAGGGGTCCCTCACCTGCTGCGTTTGCTTCCCCCAGCCCCTCAACCGCAGGAGTTCTTTGGGGTTTATCTTTCGGCTCCTCTGCAGCGCCTGTTAGCTGCACTGACTGGAATGCAGCTGGGCTTGGGTTCCAGGGACCGGGGCTGGTGCGGGAGGCGGGGATGGTAGAAGGCAGGTCAACACGTCTGTCATCTTATAAGCTCTTGGTGCCTTATTTATGCCAACCCTTCCGTCACTGCCTCTCAGCCCCCACCTCCTCCTGGGTAAACACTTTGGAGAAAACTGCGGCTGCAGACACTGGCCACCGCACCTTCGTGAGCGAGAAGGTGAAACAGCCTGCCCTGCTTACTCTCCTAGCTGCCTAAGAATTCTAGGCAAGATGTCCAACTTCTCTATGCTTCTCTTTCTTTCTCTGTAAATTTGGACTATTAATGAGACCCCTAGGTTGTTGTGATGCTAAAATTAGTTACGGTATTTAAAGAACTGAAAATAGCATCAAGAGCCCCTAAAGCACTGAAAATAGCATCAAAGAGCCCCGTGTGGACTTTGGCTATTATTATGACGCACAGCTTTGTTCCTTAGCCTACATTTCTAGCACCCAGCTCTCTTCTAAGCTGGGGGACTGACCTCTTGACCTCCATGTCCCCCACACTCCTGACAATAGGAGAAAATCAGATATCTCTTCACCTACTTCTTCTGCAAACCTCTTGATGTTACCTTCCCAGACTTAAAAATATCATCCGTCTGTTTTACCACTGCCCTTGCTGAGAAGTCCTCAGACGCTTTAATTCCTTTGTCTCTTTTGTCCTCCTGTTCACCCTCAGCAAGAATGCCTCTTCCGTTTTCATCCATTTCATTGCTTCCGTTCCGTTGTCAATGATGGAGGTCAGGCTTCCTTCCCCAGTTGGCACAGTGAGGAGCTTCTTGATCCAGGTTTACCCCCCGCCCAGCCCATCCTGCGGCTCCCCCCCGGCCACCCCGGGATGTGCTGACCCCGCTCTGCTCTGCAGGGCAGAGTTCAGAGGACAGCCAGGAAGAGCGAGGGCTCCTATCCCAGCCGCTGCAGAGAGGCAGTGCCCGGCGTGAGCTCTCATGAGGGGAGGGTGATATCATTCCTGAGGCTGCCCTCGTGGCTCAGAGAGTAAAGAATCCGCCTGCAGTGTGGGAGACCTGGGTTTGATCCCTGGGTGGGGAAGATCCCCTGGAGAGGGGAATGGCTACCCGCTCCAGTGTTCTGGCCTGGAGAATCCCATGGACAGAGGCGCCTGGTGGGCTGCTGTCCATGGGACCGCACAGAGTCAGACATGACTGAAGTGACTTAGCGTGCATGCATGCATTGGAGAAGGAAGTAGCAAACCAGTCCAGTGTTCTGGCCTGGAGAATCCCAGGGACAGAGGAGCCTGGTGGGCTGCCGTCTCTGGGGTCACACAGAGTCAGACACGACTGAAGCGACTTAGCAGCAGCAGCAGCAGCAGCAGTGCATTAGAGCAAAAAAGAGCATTAGAGAATATATGTTTTCTTTTATTCCAAATTCAGATTTTAAAGTTTTTTTCAATATTCCTCTGAATTTATTTAGTCCCTAGGTAGTGCAGTACACAACTATGTAGAATCATTTCTCAATTGTTTTTCACTAGCATTTTAAGTATGGAGGGAAAGCTAAAAAATCATCTCAACGTTGCTACATTCTTTGATAATAATACTTTTCCATAATTAGACAGTAAGCCATCCTATGATACCTTTGTTGTTTATGTTATCTTACCTATGTTTGTTCAGCCCTGAAAGTACCCTGAAAATGAGTAATAAGCAATGATGATGAGAGCTATACAAAAGTTATAAAGAGGTATAGAAAACATTTAAAGGCTGTCAGTTCAACTCATGGTGCAAGTTAAGATTATTAAAGCTTGTTACTGGTTAGGAATAACACTTTTAAAATTTTAAAAATCTCAGAAAAGAAAAATGTATGCAGTATCTTTCCAGTTGAAAGAAATAAAAGCTTAAGAATGCTGCTGATTTGTATGTAAGATCTATTTCAGAAAACTAATTTTATCAGTTCTGTCTTTGTGCATACATAATAGAATAGAACCAAATAAAAATGATAGATGCTCCAATTCAGGATTATTGTCTTGACTGGGGGGTCTTTCCCAAGTGGAAGCAGTTTGGGTTGGTTTTGGGCTCGTGGACCGTCCTCTTTCCCTCTGGGTTTACACCAGAGACCGAGACCTTTAATAACTTTAAGTTGCTCCGTGAGCTGAACTGACGGTCTTTAAACTTTTGTTAGGTGGTGTTCTTGGTCCTGCGTGTAATCCCCAGTCAGAAGAATGACAGAACATGAGTTGCCTTTTTTCTTCTGCAAAACAGTCTCTCATCTGACAGTCATTAAAAAATTTCACGTGTGCCCAGTCACGTGCTCATCGCTCACTTGTCTGACTCTGTGACCCCATGGGCTGCAGAGCACCAGGCGCCTTTGTCCGTGGGGTTTTCCAGGCAAGAGTACTGGAGTGGGCCGCCCTTTCCTTCTCCAGGGGACCACCCTGACCCTGGGGTCAAACACGCAGCTCCTGCTTGTCAGGCCGATTCTTTACCACCAAGCCACCCGGGAAGCCTCGTGTGTACACACAGGTGGACACACACACTGTGTCATCTCTTTGGTCATCGTGTTATATCATTTGGCCTCATGACACCTGAGCACTGGATGTGATCCCTCACTTACCAGTGAGGCAGCAGAGTTTTAGGATGTCAGACAGCTAGTGAACTGTGCTGAAACAGACCCAAGCCCTAAGGGGTCCAGATGCTTCCACGTTGCTCCACTGCTGAACATCCGTGAGCTAAGCTGGATTTGGGGGAGGCTGTTTACTCAGACTAGCACATCTTTCTGCCTTAACTTCAAAATGCAGCACTGAGGGAAACTGACTAGGATAAGGCTCTTTTGGTGAAGAGATCGTCGGGGTCAGTAAGAAGTGGCCGGGGCCGCAGGAGGAGGGGAGAAGAGGCGAGGTGGTGGGGACATTTCCCCCGGCGGCAGTAGCGACGGGATCGCAGAGCAGATTTCTTTTAGTCCAACCAAGATGGGAACAGAGTTGAAAATCACAGGGAAGGACTCTGAGTGCAGAGAGAGATGGGAAAGTGATTTAACACTGTGTTTCTGCTCTGGGCCTCTCTGCTCCTGCTTTTCAACCCAAGGTGCCTCATGTTCTAGCAGCGGCCTCGGGGGCTTGTACAGGGCGGTGCCAGGCCCTCAGAGGGGCCAGTG